ATGCACCTGTGGATGCACGACAAGGTCCTGTTAGCCCTGCCAACCATGACCTCGCATTGTCGGCCCATGTTCATCTTGAAGTCAATAATGACACCAAGATCCCTTTCCGCCTCCGTGCTCTCAAGTAGGGAGTTCCCCATCGTATAAGTTCTTTTTTAGCTATGGTTAAAGAGCAATACACTTTTGTTTAGTATTAAATAAAATGAGCAAAAAACAGAGGGACTCTGAATGCAGATGATTTCCTGAACTGGGTTAGTAATCTGCTACAGAATAATGCAAAGATAGTGGGGAATAGGACAGTACAACCCACTGTAGCAGTTATAAAATGCTGGGGACCTGAAGAGTTAAAAGCTAACCCAGATAGCCAAATAGTGGACTCAGTATAGTGGACTTAGTTTTGATGATAATGTGTGTTTTGCTGGCAGGTTTACGGCAGTTGTGACTGATGGGAAACACACTACTACTGACCTTTTAGGTGGGGCTACAATGAGAACTTGCAGGGGGGGTTTCCAGTCAGAATAGATGATGATCAGTGATGGAGTCATACTGGCACAGCATGTAGGAGGCACCACTAAGGCGTAAAACAAAGGTTCAGTCTGGAGACATTTTAAAACAAGGGGATTTGTTTACTTTAAGACATCTTTTGAACTGTTACATGCAATAATCATTGCTATGAAATCCTGGACATAAAAAAAATCAGTATTGTGTGGACATTTTTATGACTTTTGCTATGCTGTGTAGGGCCATAATAACCATGGCTGGTGTTTTTGTTGCCATCTGTATTTGACCACAAGAAGTATAGAGGCAGCAGGACTTAGCCAGAGATATGACTTGGCAGGTGTTTTGGAAGACTTGAATATGTCCTGAGGGACACATGAACCTAGTGATTCAAGTAAAATTTGCTGCACGCCTCAGTTCTACAGGGACAAAAGCTGCAAACATAAAGGTCAGTGTTGAAATCCATGTTAATCTAAATAATATAAAATAGCATTAGAGCCCTGAAATGATTGGAAAATCATGTCTCTTTATGATTTTGGATATGGACAAAAGACTAATGTGGATATACCTAATTGCATCTTGTCTAGACAGCAGGGAGACCTTGGCAGAATTTAAGGGTTAAGACTGTGTTCTGGACTTTGTCAATACATTTATGGTTATGTGGTTAGAAGAATGATTTCAAAGCTTACATTCAAACATTATGAAATATGCTTGTCCATAGGTGGCTGATAGGAAAGCTGCATGTAGACTGGATAGCTCAGAGAAGTAAACTAATGAGCAAAGGCCTTGGACTTTCATTGTATTGACTCTAAACTTAGCATGAAGCTCAGTAGAAGTCAAAGACCATGGCTTTTGAAGGGGCCAAAAGCTGTTTTCCATACTAATGTTCTTAAAAAGAACAACTATGCTAGGCCTATGACTTAGCTGCAGCACTGGGGGGCGTGGATCATATGCTTTCCGAGGAGAAACCAGGGTTTCTGAAACAACATCCTTGACCTGTAAAAAGATCTGGTATATTATTACCACTTGGATGTAAAAATGCTGTGATAAGATTGTATCCTCTACAAGAATCCCTAGAAATAACTGTTAGTGGTTATAAAAATTGTTCTGTCATATAGCTCCCATTCCAGACAACTACCCTGGGCAGAAAGAGCCTCTGCCATAACTGTTTAGTGGCTGATAGGTACAGTTCATACTATGCATGTATCACATGCCTCAAGGGTGAACACTTTCAAATAAATTGCTGCTTTCCAGATGGTTGCACAGTTAACAATGACAAAGCCACAGCTTTTGAATGTACTGACTCTTTTTTCATGGGTGAGCCATCTCCTATTGTGAAAAGGTATAATATCCTTTGGTCAGGTCAATGCTTGTTCAATTTTATCATCAGACAAGGTTTAGGACTAATTTTCTTTAAAGACAGGGATTTGTAATCGGGGACAATGGGAGCCCAAATGGAGAGACATGTTATTGCCTTACAAGGAACTTTCAGATTTTCTAATAGCTAGTTCACCTCCAGTGCCCTGAGATGGTGTTTTGAAACTAGGACTAATAGTGTTTGTCCATATTAGAAACCTGTGTCCAATGAACAAAATAAATATTATTATTTTTACCAGCCTGTACCTGAATGCAAACAAGAAATACCCAGTTGGAATCACTTAAATTATTTATGACAATTTTAACTTGCATTCATGTGCTTTGGAAGCACCAATGTTAAAATAAACTTCCACAAGGACTGCTTTTTTTACCCTTGCTGTCAAACTTCTGTTTCATATGTCTGGTACATACAGAGTCTAAACAGCATTTGCCTTGGAGAAATGATGACAAAGAGAAGGCAATCACAAGCAGCCAATGCGCTATAGAATCGAATGGGGCGAGAAAAAACAGAATCTGGTTGGCCAAAATCTGTGATAGTGGAATTTATCTGCAAGACTGGATATGTTATTTTCTGAAAACATGACATTACACATGCAACAAAAACAAGATTTGTCAGGGTTTCTCATCTGATACAAGGGCATGATCAAACAAAATCACTAGACCAGTTATATCTAGGAGAAAGAAAGTATTTATTTATATTGAGGTCAAATTAGGGTAAACTCCAATGAAAAGTTGCTATATTGTTTCTAATCTCCTTGTAGAGGAAGTTCACACAGGTACTGACCCTCTATCACCAGTTCAGTGGATGATCTTCATAAATTCTGACACTAGGGGTCAGATTCTTAAGCCTGTTGCAGAAAAACTACTACTATCAAAGTGATTTTGACAGAAACAGATTTTTGTATGCAGAATCACTCACTTTTTAGTAATCACTTAATTGACATGCCTTATTCCATCACCTATGTCTCTATATCTGTCCTGAAGAGTGCATGCCTTTTAGCCTGTTTTCCAGTCGTGATTTCTATTCCACCACATTTGACTGACTTCTAAGTATTGTAGCCATACTACTGGAACTTTGGTAAATGCAAGACCTCTTGTTTAATACTGGCTATTAGAAAGTTAGGTCCATGGATTCCTTATTTTTTTCTGAGGTGTTTAACAAATGAATTGACTGTCTGGCTTGTTGCAAGTCATCAAGTAGAATTTAGACAATCTTGCAGCTAAATTTCTAGATTCATTTTCCTTTCCCAACAATAAGCTATAACCTGTTGCTCCTGTTGCCACAGCTGTTTAAGTAGGTGGAGTGTCAAACATTTGACAAAGAGCTTTCTGTTTTCTTCTGGCAAGTTATCAATTGCCTGTACTTACTGCCTGCAGAAGTAAATGCAACCCAAAAGCCATATTGGTGTGTATGGTGGCAGGGGGAGAGATAATGCAGTTGATCACTCAACCAGCTCACTTTTTTTGAGTAGTTCAGAGTGTTCCTCACCAAATGATGTTTCACTCACAAATCTGAGTACACTGTTGGAGCAATTTATTTCTGTAATTGCATTCTGTTACACCTGAATGCTGCTGCATTGAACACTGTAGCTCATGCCAGTTTTAGTAACTGACACAATCACAAACTCAACACAGTGGTAACTCTTAGCACAGTTCTAGAAAAGGAGCTTTACAATACATTTTGAAGGAGAAAATGGACTGCTCTAGATGCCAGTTTTAGCACATGCATTGGAAGCGGAACTGACATTAAAGTTAACAGGAACTGGACTGGGCTTAAATCCAACAAAGCACTTAAGTCAACAGGATCACCTAGTGCTTTGTGAGGCATGTACTTGGTTTAATTGGAGCCAACAGAAGAATTTGAAGTCTGACTGTTCTCACTTTGCCACAAGCAGAGTACTCTGATAGGTATATTTTAAAATCTAAAAATGCTGCCTGTGCAAGGTCTTGTGGGAATGTCCTGTGATGGCCAACAATAATAATCAGCTTGTAGAGGACTAGTTATCTAATCGCCCACACACTTAGAGGTCTCCATAATTAAACTCCCAACAACACTTAGCTATTTCCTATTAAAAATAGAGAACATCCAGCTTTTTGTAACACATTGCTGCTCGTATAATACAAAATCTTACACAGCAGCAGCAATACCCTTGGCGTTGTTAGTATAAGTTTTTGTAGCTGGGTAAGCTTAGTCCAGTGGTTCTTTGCCTTTTTGGACTCGAGACACCCCATGAACAATGACAACTTTTAGTTTTCACTCCATTTTTGATGGCAGAAAGGATATTAGAGTAGATGTGTTATCTTTTATTAGACCAACTGAATAGTTGGAAAAAAGTTCTTAGCAAGCTTTTGGGCACAATCGCCCTTTTTCAGGCATAGGAACAGCAGAGACTCCCTATGCCTGAAGAAGGGTGATTGCGCCCAAAAGCTTGCTAAGAACTTTTTTCCCAACTACTCAGTTGGTCTAATAAAAGATATCACATCTACCCAAAGAACCTTGCCTGCCTATGTCCCTAGGCCAGCACAGCTACCCCCAGCAATCCAGAAAAATATTAGAAGAATTCTAACACGATATTAGAACCATTCTAACAACACCAGAACAATTAGAATAATTGCAAAGAACTCGGAAAAACCGCAACAGGTCACAACGCTTTGACATCTGCGGGTTTGTCTGGTGAAGCACGTGTGCACGCTTAACATTGGGGGCAGCCTTGCAAGGATTTCCAGGCTGCTGGGGTTGCCCTGGCTGGGAATCACTGGCTCAGTTCCTGCCCTCTGGCCCGATGCTGAGCAATCCTGGCGACCCTGTCCCCGTGCATCCACGGGGATTCAGGCGCACCGGCGCTGCCCGCCCCTCAGTCCCAACCGATCCAGCACGCGCGGCGAACTACAAGTCCCATCATGCCTCACGGCTCCGGCCCTGGGTTGTACCAACTGCCGTAGTGTGAGGAGGGGGGGAATCCTCCTAACCCCGAGCACCTTCGAAGCGGCCCGCCCCCCGCGGTGTGAGCACTTGGTTCAGCCCGCGGGCAGGGGGCGGGGCAGAGGCGCTCCGGGGCGCGGGGGTAGCCGTCGCCTCTTAGCGACGGG